ATGCATCATGGGATACCATATTGAAGGGTTTCATGCATCATGGGAGGGACATCCATATTAATTGAGGGGTAGCATGCATCATGGGATACCATATTAAAGGGTTTCATGCATCATGGGAGGGACATCCATGTTATTTGAGGGGTAGCATGCATCATGGGATACCATATTGAAGGGTTTCATGCATCGAACAAAATGCATCATGGGAGGGACATCCATATTAATTGAGGGGTAGCATGCATCATGGGATACCATATTGAAGGGTTTCATGCATCATGGGATTCCAAAACGAGAGAGACATGCATCATGGGATAAATAAGAAGGAGAGGGTATGCATCCTGGAATAACATCCTGGATGAGCATACATCATGGGATACTAAAATAATGGGAGAAATAGAGAAAGACTTTTCTGGAAATACATACAAGGGAAACATCAATGGAAGAAATTGAAAACTGGAAAAAGTTGTGATATCCGATCTAAAGCCGAATCGAGACCGACCGAATTCCGAATGGTCCGGTTTTGAAATCACGCTATGGTCCCCAGTCCCACTGGACCATGGAAGTCTGATCCTGTTACTTGCTGATACAACTTCTCATCTAAACAATGTGATTTTTGTTGGTGTTTTTGTGTTAAAAGTTCACAATATCTTCATATATCCTATATAGGACAAGGTTGTCAGTCATGTAAACTTCTCGTTTTCAAGGTAACACGACGTCTGAGGAAGAATTTGGTCTGGGAAAAAAGTCGTATTTCGAAACCAGCTCAAACTAAAGCAGGTCGAATTCAAAAGAGCATTGAAGTTAAAATTACTTTCTTCAAGATTTAACAAGTCCATCTAAAGATTTAATATCTACCATACGTGGTTCATGATTAGTTTGAGCACTATAAGAGGTTTTTATATCTGGACTTCTAGAGGCATCGGAGTGATAGATGATCTAGATCTGTGGTTACTGAATGGCCATTTGTCCATCTGCTGATTTGAAGAACTAAAAATATCCTTAAGCTTTAAATACTCCAAACCTTTTAATCAGATCTGGGGTCTTAATCCGAATGATCTTAAACCCACAAGACGCTGGTTGTGTCTGCAATGGTTTGAATATCTACGAATGACAAGTTAAAAGTCCATTTGTGGAATAATTCGGAAGATTCTTGAACATTTGTTTACGTTGAGGAATTTCCTGGATTTTTTTTACAAATTACAACTACTTTTCTATCCTTTCATCCATATTTACTATCATTTGGTTTACTTCTAACTGCCTTCAACGATAGTTTTATTTGTTTTGGTTCATAAACGATGGATTCAGAGTTTCTTGGCATCCCCGAAGGGTCTTTAGATCGCTCAACAAGTGAACCTGATATTTTCGGTTCAAGCATTCGACCTCGAACTTGTAGCAACATGTCTCTACAAACTAAAGCAAAGATTAAAAAGAAAACAGGGTCTTTAAGAGAAAAAGAACTGAATTCCCAAGCAAGTGTAGATTCTGACAATGATATATTTATTAATGGCAGGTAAGTGATTTGATAAATTATTATGTAAAATACATTTTCTATGCGTGACATGTCAACATTTTTTTTTGGCACGTTTTGTATATTCATGAATTGAAATCATTTGCATAATTTAATCAAAAGACATAATTTCTAGTAGAAAATTGTTTTTCATTCCTCGGGAAAAGTTATCATAGAGTGCTTGATATAATAATTATAAGTTTTTTTTGAAAAAATGTCTGAAATGTGAAATTTAATCAATGGAAATTTGATATTTAAGGATTCAATTATTTAGGTTAGGAATGCACACATAACACACATATAAATTGAGATCTAGTGATGAAAAGCTAATAATAGCAAACATTTGTCCTCCCTCATTTTGAAGGGTGCTGTATCTTTGATTATTCAACGATTATTTGCCTAAGACAGTGGATTATCAGTGATTTTTTTTTTTACCAAGCAGCAAGATGAATCATAGTGCACGAAACTCTACTGTATATTCAAGTATAAAATGGTACTAAAACCAAATAATATGCATTTTTTGCGCATGGGCTGTCATTGGTTCAGACCGGCCACCTGCAGGATAAATATTTCCCAAAATAATCATATGATTTATGTCCAATCATTAGAATCTTGAGAGAGCAATATTTTGAATCCTCTCTAGATCAGTTAGTGTAATCTTTTTCATTTGTTATAAAATGAATAAACCCAAATATATCACATATTCCCTCGGAGCTTCGTTGGACATTATCAGCTGACATCCCAGTCGCCACAAATGGTTTATTTAAATGTACTTTAGTCTAGAGTAGACTCTGTGGGTTTTTTAGATAGATTAGATCTTTACATTCAATTTACAAGACAGGAATATTTTTTACAATAATTCAAACATGTGTATTCAAGAATTTATGTTGAGTAGAAGTCGTTACAGTACATTTAAGACATACCCTAAATCCTCTATTTAGCCCCCCCTCTCAAATAAGTCCCCCCTCTCTAATAAGCCCCCCCTCCTTTTTAAAGGAAGAAATTTGTTAAGCCTCCCCTCTCTTTTTAGCCCTCCCTCACCTCCCCCTTCACAACTAAAGAATCACGTGTAGTGATTAAATGTGTTACCGTGTTTTAGTTTTGCTATTCACAATAATCCTAAATTATACTTGAGAGACTAACACAGGTGAATCAAATAATAAAAATGCCATGTACATCACTACAGATTATGCAAGACGGTCAATAGTAATGCTTCCGTTTAATCCTATTTACGATCATAAGTATTGTGTAATCATGAGTTACAATCATATTACATCCTGACAGCGTACAACTTACTGCGTTTCGACTAAATCAATAAGCCCCCCCTCTYAATTAAGCCCCCTCTCTCCAATAAGCCCTCCCTCAAACGTGACTGAAATAAATAAGCCCCCCGGGGGCTAAATAGAGGATTTACGGTACTTTTAAACCATAAAACTCTACTGTCATTTTCAAGTTACGCTACTAAAAACTCCAATTTCAGCATTTTTGCTTCGGGTTAAAAAGATGATATTAAAACTTTTTTTTGAAGTTTGTTATGAAGAGGCTGTCTCAAGTATAGCCCCGAATGTCAATTGATACAAATTTTTAATAGGCCATTAAAATCCTAAATTCTTCATGTTAAAGATACATGAAAGCATAAAACATATGCCCTTTCCTTTTCAAACGTTCCCTTTACTCTTTACTTAGTCTTACCTGCCTCAAGCATGGCCTAAACATCAGGGTCCAGCATGTTGTATGAAGCCTGGATAGCGTCATCCGGTGGATAAATACTCATCCAGTGGAAAAGTCAATGCTGTTATCCAATAAATTTATCCACTGGATAAGATTAAATCCATTGGATAGCGCTATCCAGGCTTCGTACAACCGGGCCCTGTACAAGTTCTAAAAGAGACATTTTGAAAATGTTGAACATGAAAAAATATAGTTTTACTGTAAAAATGTGTAGACCTATTAAAAACTTGACTTTAAGTTAAATATATATATATGTATATATATATATATATAATATACATACATATAACTCTACTTCTGCTCTGTTTGAGTTATGAGATAAAGTTCACATTCGAGCATTTTTCATTATTCCTCACACAGACACCATGCACCTATACGTACTGTACACATTTTAGCAATAACCAATAGCACTATGCTTTATACTCTTTCGATTTTCATGTAGTGGCTTCTACATGTCACTTTCGTATATGCCCAAAACTAGCTAAGAGAAACAATTAAAGAAATAAAATGTGGTCTGAAATTTGAAAACATTAGACCCTACATTAGAGATAACCCTGAATACCCTGCGTAGATACCTACGTAGGGAATCCAGGGTTGCGTGTTGGGGGAGGCAGGGGGGGAGGGGTGGGATTGGTAAACTATGGGATAAGGGAAGATGTGGGAATGTAATTTCAAAAGGTTTTCTGTACCAATAGTCTTCCTTATCAATGTGATGTAATCAGGTATTGCATATCTGATGTCAGTATTTGATTTCTTTATAGCGTATGTGTATCCGATGATCGGCTCTCGTCACAGTCCCACAATGGTCATGTGACACCAAGTAGGGCGGAAGTCAAAGCACATGCTTATGAACGACTCAAAGAAGAACTAAATCTAGCACAACAGGTAATATAAGATCCAGTTCAAACTTAGTTAGATCAACCAAGATGGCTAACTCACAGATCGAACCCTTAAACAACCTAAATTTGTTGGGCTGACCAAAATCATCTAAAATCTTCATTATTTTTCAGGAACTGAAGCTTAAAGATGAACAGTGTGACAAGCTTTCTAGAGTAAGAAATGAACTGGAATCAGAATTAGAGGAGCTGACTGCCAGCTTGTTTCAGGTACATACAACTATCTTCTTCCAATACATTTATCATTGTGTAGTTCGAGAAATTATCCATACCCCTCAAGAAGGAATATTTTTTTACCATTATTTTTAATTTTCTTGCTTTCTGATTGGTCTAGAGCCTGGAGAAAGAGGTGGACACACCAATAAATTGGGCCAGCTAATCACATGCACACTTGAAACCCTGTTTTTCTTTCAAATTTTACCCTTTTTTGTAGTGAAATTTTTAATTTCCTGTGTTAAAAAAAATTCCTACAGTTTTCCTTGGTATGTCCTCTTATTTACCACTTTTTTTGTCATCTAGCCATCAAAATATGTTTTAGACTTCCTCGGCTATGCCTTGTGAGTCCACTACATTTTGACTGCTACATGACAAAACCATGGTGAAATAAGAGGACATACCACGAGGAACTGGAGGAAAATGGTTCAAAGACCCACCACCTCGGGAAATTCCAATTTTCTTTCATACGAACTTTTTAATTTCTATTCTTTCTCTGACCCCCATCCCCTACCCCCCCCCCCGATTCCTCTGTGGGGTGGGTATGGATAATTTCTGGAACTACACATTTCTTGAAAACAAATTCTGCATAACCAACTGTGGTGTTGTAATTACTGTATGGATTTTTTTCAATTGAACAGGAAGCACATAGAATGGTCCACCAAGCAAGACTAAAACAAGATAGCGCAGAGAAAAAATTAATAGAGGCAAATAACAAGGTAACTCATGTTATAAAGGCTTTGTACTATCACCTGATGGCAGCTACAGTTTGACAGGAAGCACAGCAATAGTATTTTCCCCAGGGAAACTAATTATTTCTCATGTGAATCAAATTAGACCAGACTCATTTCTTCCTGTTTCCAGTTATGGCTGCCATTACATGATGGTGTAAAGCCTCCAAATAGCAGTTCTTTCATGTGTGGGAAATTTACTACATGCATGTGTGGGACAATAATTTTGCTAACACACAGTGGCTTCCCTGAATTATGCACAGCTATTTAAGTATAAATATGAATTTACTGAATTGTTTCCCACTCATACAAAAAGTGCACCATTTATGTACCATTGTTTAAAAGTGAAAATGTGGAAGAAGTGGAAAACAAGTTTTAAAAAGTCTAAGACTTTTTTATTCTCACTCAAAACATTCATCATCTTTATATATGAACATACATGTAAGTCAGTATTTCAAATTGATATGAAATGGTATAAACTAAAATATCTTTCAATTCCCATTTTCCATTCTAGGTGGACCTGTTACAAGCAGAAGTGAATGCCCTTAAAACTCTTGTTACATCAAGAACTCCAGGCAATCCTAAGAGCTGGCGTCGACGGCATAGTGAAGAAAACCTTGCCCCCTGTTCTGACTGTGGCTCATATGACTGTGATGCTGCTGTACCTAAAAATGTTGGTCGGTGTAAGGGAAAGAGACCAAGGGATTTTCACAACCCAAATGAACCAGAGGCAATTCTTTTTTTCTATTTAAGGGATGTTCATGATTTACTCTATGGGTTGACTGGGTCTGGAAACTTGGTTTTAAAACAACATCTTTTTGGTAGCCTGCTCTTTATAAGCACAGGCTGTGTAGTGGTGAGAGTGCTCACCTCTCACCAATGTGACACCGGCTCAAATCCTACTAGACTTGATGTCATTTGCGAGTAGACTTGCTTGTTGGTTATCTTCTGTGCATTCACCACTCCAAGATGGAGGGTGTAACATGCAACCCAACAAGATATGCAACCCAATTGATAATGCAGCAATAGATTGAATTAGAATTTAGAAGATTTTTGTGGAGGGAGGAAAAACCTTAAGGCAACAGACAACTCTACTCGCATATGAAGCTGAGCTGGGCTCGAACCCAGGTTGTATTGGTAGGCGGCACATTAGTGGTGCATGCCATCCATGCTTTCCTGTAAATGCATCTGTGAAATTTCTTTAATGTCTTTGGATTGATGGGCTAAGTGTGTTTCTTCTTATGCATGATAGGTGGATGCTATAATGTTTAGAGAGTTTTTACAGTGGATGGATGAGAATTCTATGTCACATGACCAGCCGTTCCTTAATAGAATATGTGTAGAGAATGTGGCACCTTGTTTGGACTTTACAAATAAAGAGGTACAGTGCTCATTCATCCATCCTTTTATCCACCCATCCATCTGCCTACCTGCCCATCTATCCATCCATTCATCCACCCACCCA